TCCACAGTACAGGATATGATAAATGCTATACAAGCTGAACAAATTTATTTTGGAGGAACAAACACTGGTGGAGCGCTTCAAAATTTATATACACAAGTTTTTACTCCTATAAGAGGTGATCGTCCAGATGCACCAGATATAGCAATAGTGGTAACTGACGGTAAATCTAACAACGAAGCTGATACCATGATACAAGCTGCTGAAGTTAAAGCACGAGGAATACACGTTATTGCTGTTGGGATTGGTCTAACGGATATATCTGAACTAAATGTTATAGCTTCCCCTCCAAGTCACCTAAATGTTTTCAATGTGGACGATTTTTTCAAACTAAATTCAATCATAGGAGATATTGAAGCAATGTTCGTTGAAAACTGTACAGGTACATATCAATTACATCTTTACATCTAATATATAACATATTGTGTTACTTTATGTAAAATCAGAATTAAACTGTTAAATAATTAAACCTGATGAAACAGAATAAAGAGCTAAGTTTCATGTCAAATAATTATTTTATAAATTGTTTGTTATTAATCGAACACTCAATGTTTTACTTGTTTTATTTTACTTGTTTTATCCTTTTTTTTATTTTCCTGTTTATTTTCAGATATGCCAGCCATGTGTGAGTTTCTTTTTTACAATTTTTAAGCGATCTATTCAGTCTCATCTGTTTGTTTCACAAAAAAGGCTCGACAAAAATATGCAGCTTTAAGATATTATGTTCTGTTGAACCGCTTATGTCAACAGGAGGAGCATCTAATTTGTAATCCAGGAGTACAATCCTTGGTCGAGGCAATTTTTTCCCATGACAATTGACCTGCTACATTTAGTCTAATTGTCATTGTCTCTCACCGCTGGTTAACAAATCACAAGGGATTAATATTTAGTCACTTAACTACGGCGAAATTTGTTAGTACTGGTTAGGTAGTTTTCCAGGAAAGTTATGTGAAGCGACCACCGAGATATGACAAAATGGTTGATATTGTCGTTAAAAAACAACATAAGACAGATTGAAAACAACAAAAATATAATATTTAGATTCACGATACATTGACTTGTATGGAAATTAAGGTTAGTTTGATAAAGTAGAATTAAAAGTAGTAGATACATCAAATATATAGACCCTTTTTCAATGTTTTTTTTATATCAAAAATCAGAAGCTTATGTGAATCTTTTATTCTAGTATATTGTGGGAATATGCAATACGACCCGCGTGTCCATGTATGCTGTGGTGGTGCTTTATTTATGGTTACCAATCAAAACGCCAGAAGCTGTTGTGGATCTCATCTCTTCGATGACTCTTCTGCCGTCTGTTGCGGTGGAAATGTATGTCAAATTCTTTATGCTGGAAAGACCTCATGTTGTGGAAGTTCCCATCTTTACAATCCATTGGTTGAAAAATGTTGCGGAGGAAACGTAATAAGTAAATCAATGGAGTGCTGTGGGTCTGGACTGTTCTTTAATAGCTTAACCCAAATCTGCTGTGAGAACACAGTGCAACCAATGCATGGTATTGGAACTACTGCATGTTGTGGAACACAAAGCTACGATACACGATGTTACCAGTGCTCACAGGGAACTGTAATACTTAGTTATGACGAAGCTACAGAGTTGTGTTGTAATGGTGTAATTCAGCAAAGACTCTACTCATATTCGTGTTGTTGTGGACATTCTGTTATAGATGCCACTCTGAATACTTGTTGCGAAGGTTTAGTTACAGAAAGACCTCTATGGGATGACAGTCTTTGCTGCCGTTAGTATTTCGTCAAATCCAATTGAACATACTTATTCAATAATTTTATTTTGCCATCACAAATAAAAACAAGAAAACTTATTTATGTGAAAAACTTTAAATTTAAAAGTAGTAAATTGTAAATATTACTTGAAGATTCAATGTGCAAACTTTTATAATCTATGCAAATTATTTTCAGATTGTACTAGCAGAAAGATAGATCTTGCCTTTGCTGTGGACTTTTCTGAAAGTGTACATGACTACTCATCTGACGTCAATTATTTGGTAGATTTCATAAAAAGTCTTATAAATATGGCAGACATAGACACAGATAATGTACGTGTTGCATTATCTGTCTATACACACGATGTTCTAAATTACTTCTTTTTAAATACATATCAAACAAGTGCACAGATGGTAGACTATATTCAATCAGCATCATTTCCACAAGGAGGAACCAATACAGGAGCAGCTCTTGAAAATCTGTTTACAATTGTATTTAAAACAGTCAAAGGAGATCGTTTGGATGTTCCAAATATTGCTGTAATTATCACTGATGGTAAATCTAACAATAATACAGACACTGTCATTCAATCAACCATTCTTAAAGCGAGCGGCGTGCACGTAATTGTTATTGGAATTGCTTTGACCGATACAAACGAGCTTCATCAGATCGCATCTGAACCTACATCTGAAAATGTATTTAGTGTTGCCGACTTCCATGAACTGTTTTCTCTTGAAGATATAATCAAGGATAAATTTACAGAAGAATGTACAGGTATATTATCTCCTGTCAACAATATCTCCTTCATAAATTCGCTTTTTTTTCATTTGATTTATTTCTTGCAATATGTTTATGATATAAATTATTCAAAAAGTGGAATTTTATAGCAGTATGTAACCATATTGTGTTTAAGGGTATGTGCAGAGTATTTCCAGTGTTTCGAAAACCAAAATACCATTGGTAATATTCATTAACATTGGTACCATTGTTAACAATTTACTCTGAACGGATTTCATCATACTGTTTGTGTCAATTGCAATATACTTAACATTGGTACCAAAGATAAACCAATTGTACCAATAGCACAAAGCCGACTGATCTTGATAATTAATTTGATCCTTGGTTTCTATTATAATTTGTGTTAGTGTTAATAAATTCTGTCACAAATTAACTTTATTTATTTGCAAATCTGCACCATGTACATGCTATTAATGTGCAATATTATTTTATAAAATTGAAACAGGGGTTTGAGTGATGTCATTAGTAAGACTTATGAACAGGCTCAATCAAAGCGAGCCTGCAACATTTTTAATTTTGTCATATCGGGCTTCCTTTACGGATTCTTACTTTCTCTATTTTACCAACACTTACATAGCACTATTCCGCAATTTTTGTCTGTAAGCATTTGTACCGTTGGAATGTCAATGGTATGTTAACCTACCAATGGTTAGCAATAGATTACTCTGACCGCACCTTAGTTTTCCTTTATAATATAAAGTTTATATCTCGTTAATAAAACATGATTATCTTTTTCTTTTTTAGATACTCCTGAAATGTGTAAGTATTTTAATGTATTGTATAATCTATTTTTAATATTTTAATGGCCGAGTTATATTTTGCTAAGACACATGTATCTCAAGGTACAATTGATACACTGCAAAATTATTTTGCCAAACCGAGCTTGATTGTCACCAATGATTTTTATATTAATATTTCAATGCATGAGTGTCTTTCTCTACAAAAATATCAAACGAGGTTACTGTAAGATTGTTTGAGTTGTATGCTGCTTTATCCATCTATGATATATTTACAATATTGACACGTGAAAAAAGTTCATTTGAATTTCCATATAACGCAGTGAAATTAAAATATTACTGAATGTCATAGATTAGTTATGCACTGACAAGGGATTTCATCGAATAACTACATGTTCGTGTTGGTTTAGAATGTCATACACATCCTCGAAATAGCATAATGTGCGTGTACTTAATAATATATGTTTGCTTTTAAGTATTATGCGGAAATTCGAAGTATGATCCACACGTTTATGTTTGCTGTGATGGAGAACTAGTAATCATAACAAGTCCGAATGCAATAACCTGCTGTGGCGTTAGTGGGCTGTATGACGAATCGTATGCCGTTTGTTGCAGTGGTATTATTATCCAGATAACTGCAGCAGGAAAAACCTTATGCTGTGGAGAATCAATGCTTTATAATCCGTCGACAGAATCGTGCTGTGATGGTATAGTTCAGCCAATTTCAGTAGAATGTTGTAGCAATGAAAAGGTTGATGTTGCTTTAGTGACCGATTCTTCTGAAAGTATTGTGATGTCTGATTATCATTTTGAGATGTTATGGTCGCTGACAGAGAATATTGTCATGCAAGCTGATGTAGAATCTGGAAATGTTCGCATTGCTTTAACTGTTTATACTCATAAGATTTTCAATGAGTTTTTGCTTGACAAGTACAAAACGCGTAGTGATATGATTGAGCACATAAATGACTTACCTACTCGTTCAGGATCAACAAATACAGGTCGAGCACTTGAGAATCTTTATACTTATGTGTTTAAAACATCGTCAGGAGATAGAAAAAAAGTACAAAACGTTGCCATTATTATCACTGATGGCGAATCTGATGATGTAACATACACTGTGGAGGAAGCGAATAAAGCAAAATTATCCGGAATACATATAATTGCAGTCGGAATTGATATACAAGAAACATCAGAATTGTACGCAATAGCATCATCACCAAAGGAAGAAAATGTTTTCATTGTAAATGACCATAATGATTTATTTGATGTCCTCAATGCCCTTCGGTTGAAGTTCTTCAATCAGTGTAAGCAAGGTAAATAAAAATAACTTAAATATTAACTAATCCAATTAAATCTACATGCCATATATAAATGATATGTAAATAGTATGTTGATTCGATTAAAAAATCAATGTTAGTGTAAAATTAGATCAAAGACTTTTTCCGTATTAAGCGCCAAGAAATAAGACATGATTGTCGGTACTCTTTTAAAATTTTATATATTTATTATTCTAAGATTTACCGCAAATGAAAATATGTATCATTGCACTGGTTTCGTTAATGTTTGTGCAATTGAGCTGCAAGTGAAAGTCAAACTTATTTGTATTTAAATTAGATCTGATGATTTTTTTTTCATGAATAATATTGTCTTGTAAATTATACGTCTCCTGTTAATCATTTATAATTAGTAGCTTTGTTTCACTTTTATATTTTACAATAGGACACTATTGCGGAGGAGTCGGTTATGACGTCAGTAAATTTATTTGTTGCAACGGAAATGTTCAATACAGATATAATGGAGACAGCACTAAATGTTGCCGAGGACAATCGTATGACTCTAAGCATTCGATATGTTGCAAGGGTGACATTATGCCTGCAATAGCCGGACAATCTACAAAATGTTGTGGCAGAAAGGTTTTTGATCCATCAAAAAGTATTTGCTGTGATAACAAAATAAGGCAAAAATCAAGCATCACAACGAAATGTTGTGGTAGTTCAACATTTGAAAGCAACTGCTTTAAATGTAATTCTAAGGATATAATCGTTCCACGTTTCAACGAAGAAATATCAGTTTGTTGTAACGGCAACATAATGGTCCGCAAATACGGAGATAATTCCTGTTGTTGTGGGAACAAACAAATAGATCTTTCAAAGAAAGCCTGTTGTGATGGGCGTCCGAGAAAAGTCCCACAGTCTTCACCTTGTGCATGCTGCGGTGAACGCTTGTTCAATGTTAAAAGCCAAATATGTTGTAAGACAAAAAGAAAGCGCCTTATCTACGGATATGATTCTCAGTGTTGTGGTGATGAAGTTTTTAACATGAATACACACATTTGTTGCGAAGGAGTTTTACATGAAAAAATATCTGGGGGAGATACTTCATGTTGTGGACAAAAATCATACAACGCTAAAATAGAAAAGTGTTGTGACGGAAACGTGCAAATTATTCCAGGTGATGTGGACATAAGTAAAATCTTATGTTGTGGAAAATTAGTGTTTGATTCAACAGAAAACATGTGTTGTGAAAATACCATACTCTCTAGAAACATGAACAATCCATCGTGTTGCGGACAGGTGCAGTATTCTTCTGAAACAGGCTGTTGTTCAGGATTACCTTATGATCCATCTCTTTATATATGCTGCAGTGGAAAAATACTCTTGAAGACAACACCATCAGCTGATTCTTGTTGTGGAATTGCTGAAACATATGATAGTAGGAATGAAATATGTTGTAATGGTGTTGTACAATTTAAAGTTTCAGGAGAGACAACTAAGTGTTGTAGCACGAACAGTTACAATCCATCAATGTATATTTGTTGTTCCGGAAAAACTAAATATCGAAAACATGGAGAACTTACAGCATGTTGTGACACTAAGGCTTTCAATCCTGTGCTAGAAAACTGTTGTAACGGTTTTGTTATTAAAATTGATTCGCAAAGACGCAAAGAGAAAAAATCCAAATCTGAATCTTATAATGATTATATGAAGGAGACAGACAGAGTAAAACTCATCAAGAAAATTACCAAACAGATAAATGTTTTTAAGTTAAAACTTAAAACCGTTACCAAAGTAGAAGAAAAGAAAAAACTCCAGAAAATTGTATTTAATCTTAATCGACGTCTGAGTAAACAGAAATCGTTTATCAAAAAGAAAAATAAAGGAACAAAGAAGACGACATCTACTACACAAACAAAATATATCAGAAAGAATAAAATTAAAAAGATGAAAGCAATTATTAAAGCTTATAACATAAGATATTCTAAAACTGCAGATAAGAATATTTTACATAAAATAGAAATGAAAAAGAAAAAGCTTGTTTCAAGGTTAATGGAATTGGAAAGAGAAAATGACAAAGACTCGGAGAAAAAAATTAAAACATTTGTTAAACTCACTGAACAAAAACGCTTGGAAATACTCAAAAGTAAGCAAAAACAAATAAAACAGAAACTTTTAAAATCAAATGACCCGATTGAATCGCAAACTTTGAAGGCAAAAATAAAGGAAGTGGAAAAAAATATTGCAAAACTTTCAATTACTGAAACCAATCGAAAAGACAAAAATACGGGCGTAACAGACAAGTCAAAGAGAAAAATATTATTGAAAAACATTCATCAGAGTGCTAAACGAAAAATAATTACTTTAAAAAACAAGAAGAAAACGTCAAATGACAAGGATGACATCAAAAGTACACTTATCAAAGAAGATAGGTTGAGACGCCTTGTTCAAGAGTTTAAAATAAAAATAAAACTTTTATCTCATACTAAAGATGAAAGGGTAAAGACAAAACTAAAAGCTGAAGTTTATATTCTTGAATCTAATATACGCAAATTAAAAGGAGAATTAGGACTGGTGTATAATGACAATAAAGTGAAACTTAGGAAGCTACTTAAAAAGTACAAAGAAATAAAGACAATGATTCCTGAAGCAAGAAATGAGAAAGAAAGAGATTCTTTACAGGACGAAGCAGACAGGCTAAAATCTAAAATATACAAAATACGACAAGATACAAATGATAAAAATAATAACAGAGAAAGAAAAAAGAAAATAGAGCGACTTGATATTCTTCGTTCTAAATTGGAGACTATTCACAAGAAGCTCTCTAAAACAAACAGCAAGACCGATGAAAAGAAATTACGTGATAAAAAAGAAATCATTCAGAATAGAATCGATCGTTTGACAGGTGACGAGGATAAATTGGAACGTCTGATGAAGAGACTGAAAGAAATAAAGCAACAAATTCCTATAGCAAGGAATCTTCAAGAAAGAAAATCATTACAAGACGAAGCAGAAAGGATCAATGCCAAGATCAACAAGATTCGAGAATGGGAAAATGAAGGTGACTTGGATGAAGACGAAAAAGGAAAGACTAGAAAAGAGCGCCTACAAATTCTTCAACGGAAACTTCAAGTTATTGAAAAGAAGTTTTCCAAACCACAAAGTAAATCTGATGAAACAAAACTGCTTGAGAAAAAGGAGATAATTCTTAATAGAATAAACCGATTGACAAGGAGCAACGATAGACATGAACCTGATGAAAGAGAAAATCATGGTGATGATAAATTGGAACGTTTAATTGAAAATTTAAAAGAAATAAAACAACAAATACCAACTGCAAAAAATGAGCAGGAAAGAAAATCATTACAAGACGAAGCAGACAGGATCAAAGCCAAGATCAACAAGATTCGAGAACGGGAAAATGAAGGTGACGAAGATGAAGACGAAAAAGGAAAGACTAGAAAAGAGCGTCTACAAATTCTTCGTAGGAAACTTGCAGTAATTGAAAAGAAGCTTTCCAAACCACAAAGTAAATCTAATGAAAGAAAATTGCTTGAAGAAAGGGAGATAATTCTGATTAGAATAAACCGATTGATGGGGAGCAACGATAGACATGAATCTGATGAAAGAGAAAATCATGGTGACGATAAATTGGAACGTTTAATTGAAAATTTAAAAGAAATAAAACAACAAATACCAACTGCAAAAAATGAGCAGGAAAGAAAATCATTACAAGACGAAGCAGACAGGATCAAAGCCAAGATCAACAAGATTCGAGAACGGGAAAATGAAGGTGACGAAGATGAAGACGAAAAAGGAAAGACTAGGAAAGAGCGCCTACAAATTCTTCGTAGGAAACTTGAAGTAATTGAAAAGAAGCTTTCCAAACCACAAAGTAAATCTGATGAAAGAAAACTGCTTGAGAAAAAGGAGATAATTCTTAATAGAATAAACCGATTGACAAGGAGCAACGATAGACATGAACCTGATGAAAGAGAAAATCATGGTGATGATAAATTGGAACGTTTAATTGAAAATTTAAAAGAAATAAAACAACAAATACCAACTGCAAAAAATGAGCAGGAAAGAAAATCATTACAAGACGAAGCAGACAGGATCAAAGCCAAGATCAACAAGATTCGAGAACGGGAAAATGAAGGTGACGAAGATAAAGACGAAAAAGGAAAGACTAAAAAAGAGCGTCTACAAATTCTTCGTAGGAAACTTGCAGTAATTGAAAAGAAGCTTTCCAAACCACAAAGTAAATCTGATGAAAGAAAACTGCTTGAGAAAAGGGAGATAATTCTTAATAGAATAAACCGATTGATGGGGAGCAACGATAGACATGAACCTGATGAAAAAGAAAATTCTGGTGACGATAAATTGGAACGTTTAATTAAAAATTTAAAAGAAATAAAACAACAAATACCAACCGCAAAAAATGAGCAGGAAAGAAAATCATTACAAGACGAAGCAGACAGGATCAAAGCCAAGATCAACAATATTCGAGGACGGGAAAATGAAGGTGACGAAGATGAAGACGATAAAGGAAAGACTAGGAAAGAGCGCCTACAAATTCTTCGTAGGAAACTTGAAGTAATTGAAAAGAAGCTTTCCAAACCACAAAGTAAATCTGATGAAAGAAAACTGCTTGAGAGAAAGGAGATAATTCTTAATAGAATAAAGCGATTGACAAGGAGCGACGATAGACATGAACCTGATGAAAGAGAAAGTCATGGTGATGATAAATTGGAACGTTTAATTGAAAATTTAAGAGAAATAAAACAACAAATACCAACTGCAAAAAATGATCAGGAAAGAAAATCATTACAAGACGAAGCAGACAGGATCAAAGCTAAGATCATCAAGATTCGAGAACGGGAAAATGAAGGTGACGAAGATGAAGACGAAAAAGGAAAGACTAAAAAAGAGCGTCTACAAATTCTTCGTAGGAAACTTGAAGTAATTGAAAAGAAGCTTTCCAAGCCACAAAGTAAATCTGATGAAGGAAAACTGCTTGAGAAAAGGGAGATAATTCTGATTAGAATAAACCGATTGATGGGGAGCAACGATAGACATGAATCTGATGAAAGAGAAAATCATGGTGACGATAAATTGGAACGTTTAATTGAAATTTTAAAAGAAATAAAACAACAAATACCAACTGCAAAAAATGATCAGGAAAGAAAATCATTACAAGACGAAGCAGACAGGATCAAAGCTAAGATCATCAAGATTCGAGAACGGGAAAATGAAGGTGACGAAGATGAAGACGAAAAAGGAAAGACTAAAAAAGAGCGTCTACAAATTCTTCGTAGGAAACTTGAAGTAATTGAAAAGAAGCTTTCCAAGCCACAAAGTAAATCTGATGAAGGAAAACTGCTTGAGAAAAGGGAGATAATTCTGATTAGAATAAACCGATTGATGGGGAGCAACGATAGACATGAATCTGATGAAAGAGAAAATCATGGTGACGATAAATTGGAACGTTTAATTGAAAATTTAAAAGAAATAAAACAACAAATACCAACCGCAAAAAATGAGCAGGAAAGAAAATCATTACAAGACGAAGCAGACAGGATCAAAGCCAAGATCAACAAGATTCGAGAACGGGAAAATGAAGGTGACGAAGATGAAGACGAAAAAGGAAAGACTACGAAAGAGCGCCTACAAATTCTTCGTAGGAAACTTGAAGTAATTGAAAAGAAGCTTTCCAAACCACAAAGTAAATCTGATGAAAGAAAACTGCTTGAGAAAAGGGAGACAATTCTTAATAGAATAAACCGATTGACAAGAAGCGACGATAGACATGAACCTGATGAAAGAGAAAATCATGGTGATGATAAATTGGAACGTTTAATTGAAAATTTAAAAGAAATAAAACAACAAATACCAACTGCAAAAAATGAGCAGGAAAGAAAATCATTACAAGACGAAGCAGACAGGATCAAAGCCAAGATCAACAAGATTCGAGGACGGGAAAATGAAGGTGACGAAGATGAAGACGAAAAAGGAAAGACTAGGAAAGAGCGCCTACAAATTCTTCGTAGGAAACTTGAAGTAATTGAACAGAAGCTCTCCAAACCACAAAGTAAATCTGATGAAAGAAAACTGCTTGAGAAAAGGGAGATAATTCTTAATAGAATAAACCGATTGACAAGGAGCAACGATAGACATGAACCTGATGAAAGAGAAGATCATGGTGATGATAAAATGGAACGTCTTATTGAAAATCTAAAAGAAATAAAACAACAAATACCAACTGCAAAAAATGAGCAGGAAAGAAAATCATTACAAGACGAAGCAGACAGGATCAAAGCCAAGATCAACAATATTCGAGAATGGGAAAATGAAGGTGACGAAGATGAAGACGATAAAGGAAAGACTAAAAAAGAGCGTCTACAAATTCTTCGTAGGAAACTTGCAGTAATTGAAAAGAAGCTTTCCAAACCACAAAGTAAATCTAATGAAAGAAAATTGCTTGAAGAAAGGGAGATAATTCTTAATAGAATAAACCGATTGATGGGGAGCAACGATAGACATGAACCTGATGAAAAAGAAAATTCTGGTGATGATAAATTGGAACGTTTAATTGAAAATTTAAAAGAAATAAAACAACAAATACCAACTGCAAAAAATGAGCAGGAAAGAAAATCATTAAAAGACGAAGCAGACAGGATCAAAGCCAAGATCAACAAGATTCGAGAACGGGAAAATGAAGGTGACGAAGATGAAGACGACAAAGGAAAGACTAGGAAAGAGCGCCTACAAATTCTTCGTAAGAAACTTGAAGTAATTGAAAAGAAGCTTTCCAAACCACAAAGTAAATCTGATGAAACAAAACTGCTTGAAAAAAGGGAGATAATTCTTAATAGAATAAAGCGATTGACAAGGAGCAATGATAGACATGAACCTGATGAAAGAGAAAATCATGGTGACGATCAATTGGAACGTTTAATTGAAAATTTAAGAGAAATAAAACAACAAATACCAACTGCAAAAAATGAGCGGGAAAGAAAATCATTACAAGACGAAGCAGACAGGATCAAAGCCAAGATAAACAAGATTCGAGAACGGGAAAATGAAGGTGACCAAGATGAAGACGATAAAGGAAAGACAAGAAATGAGCGCCTACAAATTCTTCGTAGGAAACTTGAAGTTATTGAAAAGAAACTTTCCAAACCACACAGTACATCTGATGAAAGAAAACTGCTTGAGAAAAAGGAAATAATTCTAAATAGAATAAACCGATTGACGAGAAGCAATGATAACGATACATATCAGATAGATATCCATAAAGGAAGATATGGACTTGATGAAAGAAAAGATTATGGTGACGATGAATTGGAACGTTTAATTGAAAATCTAAGAGAAATAAAACAACAAATTCCAACTGCAAAAAATGAGCGGGAAAGAAAATTGTTGCAAGATAAAGCGGATAGCCTAAAGAGCAGGATCCAAAAGAGGCGTCAACAATTAAAAAATGATGACAATGACGTGTTAAGAGATGGCAAATTAGATACAGATAGTAATGACAAGGAGGTTAAACTTTTAAAAAAGGAATTAAAAGTGGTACTTGATAAAATTTCTGAAACAGGCGATAAAAAGAAAAAGAATGAATTACAGACATATGCAGAAACTCTAAAAAACAGACTACGCCGATTCCATGGATTACCTCGGATTGTCAGAAATGATGATATTTATAAAGACAACATTGAACGTCTAATAAACAGATTCAAAGAATTGAAACATCGAATTCCATTGGCAAAAAATGACCAGGAAGGTAAATCGTTACAAGACGAAGCAGACAGGATCAAAGTCAAGATCAACAAGATTCGAGAACGGGAAAATGAAGGTGACGAAGATGAAGACGAAAAAGGAAAGACTATGAAAGACCGTCTACAAATTCTTCGTAAGAAACTTGAATTTATTGAAAAGAAGCTTTCCGAACCACAAAGTAAATCTGATGAAAGAAAACTGCTTGAGAAAAAGGAAATAATTCTAAATAGAATAAACCGATTGACGAGTAGAAACGATAAGGATAAAAATCAGAGAGATCTCAAGAAAGGAAAATATGGACCTAGCGAAAGAGAAGATCTTGGCGACGATCAAATGGAACGTTTAATTGAAAATTTAAGAGAAATAAAACAACAAATACCAACTGCAAAAGATGAGCGGGAAAGAAAGTCATTACAAGACGAAGCAGACAGGATCAAAGCCAAGATCAACAAGATTCGAGAACGGAAAAATGAAGGTGGCGAGGATAAAGACGAAAAAGGAAAGACTAGAAAAGAGCGTCTACAAATTCTTCGTAGGAAACTTGGACTTATTGAAAAGAAGCTATCCGAACCACAAAGAAAATCTGATGAAAGAAAACTTCTTAAGAAAAAGGAGATAATTTTAAATAGAATAAACCGATTGATTGGAAGCAATGATGACTATCAAAATGGGAACAACATCAACAAGAAAAAGGACAAAGGAAACGAAGATAGAAGAAATCAAAATGAGAGAGATACCAATAAAGGAAGCTATGAATCTGATAAAAGAGGTCTTGATGACGATAAATTGGAACGTTTAATTAAAAATTTAAGAGAAATTAAACAACAATTATCAATTGCAAAATATGAACAGGAAAGGAAATCGTTGCAAGATGAAGCAGATAACCTTAAGAGCAGGATCCAAAAGAGGCGTAAGCAATTAAAAATTGACGACAATGACGAGTCACTGCCTGGCCTTGAAAATGAAAACGATATTATAGATGACGAAGACGAAAGCGAAAATGGAAAAACTATTAAAGAACGTCTAGAAATTCTTCGTAAGAAGTTGGAAATTATCAAAAATCGACTTTCAAAAGCTAAAAATAAGTCAGATGAAAGAGCATTACTTGAAAAGTTAGATATCATTAAAAACAGAATTAAACGTTTGACAGGGGGAAACGATAGTAATGAAAATAAGAAAAATGAGAAAAATAACAGAAATGAAGAGAAAACTAACGATGATAGCGATAAATATGGAAGAAAAAAGAAAAATAAGGACAATAAGTCTGATTTAGATGAAAATAATAATGAAACAAAGCTTGATCGTCTTATGAAAAGTCTCCAAGATGTTAAGCAACAAATTTCAAAAACGAAAAATAAAAAACAAAAGGAAGAATTACAAGACGAAGCAAACAGAATCAAGACCAAGATCAATAAATTACGAGGACAAGAAAAAGAAGATGATGACGACGAAAGCGAAAATGGAAAAACTATTAAAGAACGTCTAGAAATCCTTCGTAAGAAGTTGGAAATTATCAAAAATCGACTTTCAAAAGCTAAAAATAAGTCCAATGAAAGAGCATTACTTGAAAAGTTAGATATTATTAAAAACAGAATTAAACGTTTGACAGGGGGAAACGATAGTAATGAAAATAAGAAAAATGACAAAAATAACAGGAAGGAAGAGAAAACTAATGATGATAGTAATAATGCTGAAAGAAAAAAGAAAAATAAGGACAATGATTTAGATGAAAATAATGATGAAACAATGCTTGATCGTCTTATGAAAAGTCTCCAAGATGTAAAGCAACAAATATCAAAAACGAAAAATAAAGAACAAAAGGAAGAATTACAAGACAAAGCAAATAGGATCAGGGCGAAAATCAATAAAATACGAGGACAAGAAAATGAGGATGATGAAGACGAAAGCGAAAATGGAAAAACTATTAAAGAACGTCTAGAAATTCTTCGTAAGAAATTGGAAATTATCAAAAATAGACTTTCAAAAGCTAAAAATAAGTCAGATGAAAGAGCATTACTTGAAAAGTTAGATATTATTAAAAACAGAATTAAACGTTTGACAGGGGGAAACGATAGTAATGAAAATAAGAAAAATGAGAAAAATAACAGGAAGGAAGAGAAAACTAATGATGATAGTAATAATGCTGAAAGAAAAAAGAAAAATAAGCAAAATGATTTAGATGAAAATAATAATGAAACAAAGCTTGATCGTCTTATAAAAAGTCTCCAAGATGTAAAGCAACAAATTTCAAAAACGAAAAATAAAAAACAAAAGGAAGCATTACAAGACGAAGCAAACAGAATCAAGACCAAGATCAATAAATTACGAGGACAAGAAAATGAAGATGATGACGACGAAAGCGAAAATGGAAAAACTATTAAAGAACGTCTAGAAATCCTTCGTAAGAAGTTGGAAATTATCAAAAATCGACTTTCAAAAGCTAAAAATAAGTCAGATGAAAGAGCATTACTTGAAAAGTTAGATATTATTAAAAACAGAATTAAACGTTTGACAGGGGGAAACGATAGTAATGAAAATAAGAAAAATGAGAAAAATAACAGGAAGGAAGAGAAAACTAATGATGATAGTAATAATGCTGAAAGAAAAAAGAAAAATAAGCAAAATGATTTAGATGAAAATAATGATGAAACAAAGCTTGATCGTCTTATGAGAAGTCTCCAAGATGTAAAGCAACAAATTTCAAAAACGAAAAATAAAGAACAAAAGGAAGAATTACAAGACGAAGCAAACAGAATCAAGGCCAAGATCAATAAAATACGAGGACAAGAAAATGAAGATGACGAAGACGAAGGCGAAAATGGAAAAACTATTAAAGAACGTCTAGAAATCCTTCGTAAGAAATTGGAAATTATCAAAAATAGACTTTCAAAAGCTAAAAATAAGTCAGATGAAAGAACATTACTTGAAAAGTTAGATATTATTAAAAACAGAATTAAACGTTTGACAGGGGGAAACGATAGTAATGAAAATAAGAAAAATGAGAAAAATAACAGGAAGGAAGAGAAAACTAATGATGATAGTAATAATGCTGAAAGAAAAAAGAAAAATAAGGACAATGATTTAGATGAAAATAATGATGAAACAAAACTTGATCGTCTTATAAGAAGTCTCCAAGATGTAAAGCAACAAATTTCAGAAACAAAAAATAAAAAACAAAAGGAAGCATTGCAAGACGAAGCAAACAGAATCAAGGCCAAGATCAATAAAATACGAAGACAAGAAAATGACAATATCGACGACGAAAGCGAAAATGGAAAAACATTTAAAGAACGTCTAGAAATTCTTCGTAAAAAATTAGAAATTATCAAAAATAGACTTTCAAAAGCTAAAAATAAGTCAGATGAAAGGACATTACTTGAAAAGTTAGATATTATTAAAAACAGAATTAAACGTTTGACAGGGGACAACGATAGTAATGAAAATAAGAAAATTGAGAAAAATAACAGGAAGGAAGAGAAAAGTAATGATGATAGTCATAAAGATAAAAGAAAAAAGAAAAATAAGAACAGTAAGTCTGGTTTAGATGAAAATAATGATGAAACAAAACTTGAACAAGAAAATGAAGATGACGAAAACGAAAGCGAAAAGGGAAAATCCATTAAAGAACGTCTAGAAATACTTCGTAAGAAGTTGGAAATTATCAAAAATAGACTGTCAAATACTACAAATCAGTCGGATGAAAGTACTTTACTTGAAAAGAAAAAGATTATTCAGAACAGAATTAACAGGTTGACAGGAAGCAACGACAGAACTGTAAATAAGAATAGCAAACATAACAAAAATGACAAGAAAAGCAATGACGGCAGTAATAAAAATCACGACGAACCTGAAAATAGCCAACATGAATTTGATTTGCCAGATAATATCAATGAGAGTAAACTTGAACGTCTTATCAGAAAGTTACAAAAAGTAAAGCAACTAATTTCGAAAACAAAAAGTGAACATGAAAAGAAATTATTACAAGATCAAGCAGAAAAGATCAAGGCAAAGATCAATAAAATTGGTGAACAAGAAAGTAATTATGATGACAACAAAGGCAAAAATGAAACTCTTATGATAGAACGCCCAGAGATTCTTCGTAATGAAATAAACAAAAAGCTTTCCAAAACTAAAGATAAGCCAGATGAAAGAAACTTTCTTGAGAAAAAGGATATCATTAATAAAAAACTAAGGCAAGATAATGAAAAAGAAACTGATGATAGTAATAAAATCAGTAAAAGTAACCTAAACGATTTAGAGAAGGTTAATGAGAAGCATAGCAAGATTAAAAACAGAATATCAAACACAAAAGATGAACTTAAAATGCGAAAGAGAAAAAAATCAATTTTAGACAAGAAACTTTCCAGAAAATCAGAAGGCAATAGTAATGGTGTTGGAGAAATGAACATTAATGCCCGTTTACAGATTTTAAATAGATATTTAGAAAAACTTGAAAAAATGATTACCCAAACGTCTGAAAAAGAGAAAAGAAAAAGTTTGAAAGAAGAAAAGCAACTACTAAATGAACGGATTTCTTTCTTACGTAAAGAATTGGATGAATCTGACGCGATTTCAGACACTGAAAGTATAAATGATAGGTTGACGAAGTTAAAAGACAAACTTGATATCGTCAGGAGAAGACTTGGAAAGGAAAATGATGTGAAAACTATCAGTACTTTGGAGAGAAAAATGGAAATTCTGAACAGACGTATAGATGGACTGACCAACGAGCTAAACTATTGAACGCTTCTAAAACAGTGAGTTTTTCATATATTGTTTTCCGAAAATCTGTTCTATTGTCGATACAGTACTCTATTTTTATATCTAACAGTGTTCTGTTGCCGATATATTTCAGTATTATATTGTTGATATATTACAGAACTCCATTGTCGATGTACTACAGCATCATATTGTCGGCATATTACAGTGTTCAATTATCGATATATTACAGTATATTGTTGTCGATATATCACAGTATTTATTATATTGTCGAAATATTACCGTACTATATTATCGATATATTACAGTGATCTATTGTCGATATATTACAATATTATATTGTCGATATATTGCAATATTATATTGTCGGTATATTTCCGTATTATATTGTCGATATATTAAAATACTAAACTGTCGATATATTACAGTATAAAATTGTCGATATATTACAGTATTGTATTATCGATATATTACAGGACTCTATCGTCTATATATTACAGTATTATATTGTCGATATATTACAGTATTATATTGTCGATATATTATAGTATTCTATTATCGATATATTACAATATTGTATTGTCAATATATTTCAATATTCTATTGTCGATATAGATCTTTCAGTATTATATTGTCGATATATTACAGTATTCTATTGTCGATATATTACAGTATTATTTTGTCGATATATTTCAGTATTATATTGTCGATATATTATAGTATTCTATTATCGATATATTACAATATTGTATTGTCAATATATTTCAATATTCTATTGTCGATATAGATCTTTCAGTATTATATTGTCGATATATTACAGTATTCTATCGTCGATATATTACAGTATTATTTTGTCGATATATTTCAGTATTATATTGTCGATATATTTCAGCATTATATTGTCGATATACTACATTATTCTATTGTCGATATATAACAGTATTCAATTGTCGATATATTACAGTATTAAATTATCGATATATTACAGTATGATATTGTCGATATATTAAAGTATTATATTGTCGATATATTACAGTATTATATTATCGATATATTACAGTATGATATTGTCGATATATTACAGTATGATATTGTCGATATATTACAGTATGATATTGTCGATATATTACAGTATTATATTGTCGATATATTACAGTATTATATTATCGATATATTACAGTATGATATTGTCGATATATTACAGTATTCTATTGTCGATATATTACAGTATGATATTGTCGATATATTACAGTATTATATTGTCGATATATTACAGTACTCTAGATCTATTGTCGATATATTAAAGTATTATATTGTCGATATATAACTTATTGTATTGTCGACATATTACAGTATGATATTGTCGCTATATTACAGTATTATATTGTCGATTTAGTACAATATTTGTCGATATGTTACAGTATTCTTTTGTCGATATATTACAGTACTATATATAAATATATATTCTTCTTCTCTAATTTTTGTTTGCACAATATCGAAATATTTGATAAATGTTGATGTAGCATACAGTTTATTTAAGAGCTGATTGTTCTATGATGGACACATGTTCCAAAAGTATTTCAAATATTGATAGATCAAAAGTACCATTTGGATAATCTTATAAAATATTGCTTGTAAAAACAATGATGAAATTCTGTAACATTTGTATGATTAGTAACAATATTTTGTTCTAGAACAATTTCTTTTCTGCTTTATAAATATATATATAATATCGGATCATACGGAGCCCCTAAGGTGACATTCTCGACACTTTTCCCCCGGCATTTAATTCGTTTTTACGAAATATTAATTCGTAATTACGAAATATCAATTCGTTTTTACGAAATATTAATTCGTTTTTACGAAATATTATTTCGTAATTACGAAATATTAATTCGTAAAAACGAAATGTTATTTCGTAATAACGAAATATCAATTCGTTTTTACGAAATATTAATTCGTATTTACGAAATATTAATTCGTTTTTACGAAATGTTATTTCGTAATTACGAAATATTATTTCGTTATTACGAAATATTAATTCGTAAAAACGAAATGTTATTTCGTAATTACGAAATATTAATTCGTTTTTACGAAATCTTACTTAAGGTCATTTTGAGCTTGATACTGAACCTATTAATCTCACAAATGGGTCATTTACATGCCTTGATCAACTTTGCGATTATAAGCCGAATGGTTCTCAAGTTATTATATTTAAGTGAACAGGGTTTTTGAGTGAGAAGTCATTCTCTATCCAAAATGGTATTTTCCCCATTGTCAAATACATGTTCCTATCAGCAATGTTTTAATGTTTGAGGCAATCTTTTACGACATGTATCTTTAAAACAGAAACATGCTATATTATTCCGTTCTTTTATCATATACATAAGTAAAACTAATGGGACGAGGAGGGGGTTGGTCCAGATTTCACTAATCTAATCAATTTAAAATGAATATTTCCTCACAATTTAGTATTAGAAATGTCCGTGTTTGGATTTGAAGCACAGGACCCCCATTTTAAGTAAATTTTCCTAGCGCGTGTACTATCACGGCTGTGGCTCAACGCTATTGACATGCGAATATTTTAATTTATGTACAATAGTGTAAAGTTAAAAAAAACTTGGGGAGAACAAAAATCACTATTTATATTGCATGTACATGCCTTATATTAAGTCAGGAACTTAGTTTTGAGGCCTTATTTATAACTATTACCAAAACTCTTTGAAACGCTAGAAAAAATTTAATTCGTTTTTACGAAATATTATTTCGTATTTACGAATTATTATTTCGTAATTACGAAATAACATTTCGTTTTTACGAATTAATATTTCGTAATTACGAAATAATATTTCGTAATTACGAAATAATATTTCGTAAAAACGAATTAATATTTCGTAATAACGAATTAATATTTCGTAATTACGAAATAATATTTCGTAAATACGAAATAATATTTCGTAAAAACGAATTAATATTTCGTAAAAACGAATTAATATTTCGTAATTACGAATTATTATTTCGTAAAAACGAATTAATATTTCGTAAAAACGAATTAATATTTCGTATTTACGAATTAGTATTTCGTAAAAACGAATTATTATTTCGTAATTACGAATTATTATTTCGTAAAAACGAATTAAATTCCGGGGAAAAAAGTGTGGAAAATGTCACCTTAGGGGCTCCGTAGTATCATGTATCGTACACCCATACATATTTTTTTCGTGATTTATTATGTATTATACTAAATACTATCAACTTAGTCTTTTATTATATAACAGACTTTCCATTATAGACCAATTCACTTTAAGCAATAAAAGGATGTATATGTTCTTTTTAATAAGTAAAAAACTTTGATAATAATACATTCATTTATTTATTTCAGAACATATTCTGACAAACGCTATGGACTACGGACGAGAATATAGTTTCTTCTTACTCGAACGTTCCACGCGTATTTATAGCGCAATCTAATTAGGCATTTTTCTTTTTTCTTTACGACAACTCTACATCAGAAATACTGATTTTTCGCTCTTGACTTGTTTTATTTTCCTTAGCTTAATAAATACTTTAGTAGCATCAAGCTAATGTGTTTGTTAGTTTATTTTTGACCTCCCATATATATGACAGATACGCACCGCTTAGAAATAAACCTATCTCAATTTCATTACCTCCCTTTGGTAAAATATGAAATTGGATATTGTCCATCCATCCATTTGTCCGTCTGTCTGTCTGTCTGTCTGTCTGAATATACATATCTTTGATGATCTAAGTGTCAAGATTGTGATTAAATTAAGCATAAATCTATATATGTGCTGGAAATTGAGACGCGGCAAAAGACATCCAATAAACTTATTTCTGCATGAGCAATGCCGTACAACTGGTTAATTGAGCTTCAATAGAACTTTGCTGTGATAAAGAATTAAAGGTGACTTTATACCCATCCAAGGGTATATAGTGAGTTAACTAGTGAAAGGCAAAAGGATTTTAAATTTTGCCATTATTCCTCTCCATTTTGTAATTTGCTTTGCATGAACGATAAATAACTCAAACGGCCTATTTAAAGGAAATTTCTGTAAATATCCATCGGAATTTGCTTGTAGCTTTAAATTTTAGAAACATCGGGTACAACTCACTCCAGCTTGTCGTGAACCACTTTCTATGATGACTTTTTTATTTTTTAGCTCAAAACCGGAAGTCGTGAAAACACACGACAATTTAACTTTAATATGAAACTAATCAGTGATTACCGAATCACTGAAGTCATTCATAAAAGAAATAATATTAACAGGTAGCAAAACATCTACATCAATCCAGATGTCATCGTTGCATCTTATTACAGGCCAAAGGTAACTTAGATTTTCGAGCCAAACAAACTATTTTCCTGCGCGGTGCACACGAACGGCTATAGCAAGAAATTTACAACTCAGGATCAAAATTTATCTAAAACCAAGGTTACACAACACTTATTCGTCATAGCTTATGGGTTCTTATCAAACTGCCATTGAAATATATTTTCCAATCGCTGACATGTGGGTTTACATTCTTTGGAGATCAACACCATGTTTTCCAATGTGCTTTGGCTATCATGTTTTTGTAACGGTACATAGGATTGGCCAATTAGACAGCCGGATGCTTTTTCATTGGTCGATGATAAAGTTCTGGGAATTTAACGGGGTAATAACGTACATCTTCTGCGAAAAAGCTTGATCTGTAATCGTATTGGTTGGAATTTACGCGACTATGTGCAACTTAAGTTGCGTGAAAAGAATAACAAAAGTACATGCAAAGCAGATCCAGCGACCTTTGTCTTTTGGACATTCAGTAACTAACAACAAATTTTCTCTCTTACAAAAACTTTATATTTCTTTAAACATTTTGGCAATAATCACTTAAATTCACTTACTAACAAAGACTCAACAAATTATTTACTATTAAAGAAAACGAAGGACAACAACAAGGAATTGTAATTATGTTTTATTTACAAATTCTGAACACATATTAACATTCAAGAAATCAACAAACTTTAACTTTTATTAACTTCAAGTGATAAGAATATATTGTTAATTCTGTAATAATTTTTGTGCAAATTTAATTAAATTGTTATTTATAAACTAGTTAACTTTAGCCAGAAGTTCGTTTTTTTTTAATCTTACCCACCACAGGGTTTGAATTCGAGTCTTACACGGGCCAAGAGTACTGCAATATTTTAGACAGATATATATTTTATCCTAAACATTTTCTAATATCAACAATTGGTCAATCACCAATATAACAGTCAATCTTTTGAAATACAAAGTCACTTCAGCTCAACTTGACAATGAAAAACTGTACATACTGTCACTTTAACCCTTACGGGATTTATCAAGCTTTTATTTTTGAAAGTGTCAGTTACCATTATTTGGGCTACGACAATTACACCAGAAACATTACTAGTTTTCCCTCACATAATCGGTGAGTTATATTTAAATACCGGTACACCATGTCATTAAATGTATATATTATACACTTATAAATGAAATATTGAGAAATAATGGTGAAATAAAATTCATATTTTCATTTTCCATATTTTCACTGGTGTCGTGCCGGAGTACTTTCAAATTCAGCCGATACACAAAATTAAAGGAGAGATGTTAATAATTGTAATGTCAAAAAGAGAAAAGTATATAATAATCAAAAAATTTATTAATTTGGTAGGTGTTATACTTTCCTTTTTTGTCATGCTTTGAACAGTATTAATAACAGCGACTCAACAATTTTAACCCACTTAGTTATTGCTCTTGATCTATAATGTTGTCGACAACAGTCCTATGTGACAGACAGTGGTAAGACATTTATGCTTGCTTGAGTTTATCTGTTTACTAGACAATATTTGAACCAGTTTTAATGTTTCTAAAACTTAGTATAAATATGTAGGCGTGCTGCTTTAAAATAACATATCGCCCGCCTACTGGCTTGAAAAAAAAAAGATCGTTTTACGTGTAAAACATTTTTATTCATTTGTTTTAAACGGATAGTATCTAATGTCTTTCACACTTTTGGTACATTAGTTTTCAAATCATTGTAGAATCGTAGCATTTTTATTGCCAGTTAAATCTACAGGGAAAACTAATCAGTTAAAATGTATTTTGATCACTGGATGAAACTTTTAAAACCTTTTCGCTTTTTATGCTACTGAAAACAAAAAAAGGCTTGGCAGTAAAATATCTGGAAATAACAATAAGTTGTTTTAAATATTACTTGTCAATCTGATTACACGTGCACAAGTGTACTGATGACAAATTAATTACAGTAAATGTCCTTCTCGACACGGTACACGGTAAATGAAACTGAACAAATTGAATCAAAACTGTATTCTGATTTCGTTTAAATTGTAAAAAAATATATATAATGCAAGATGACTGCTTCTGCACAAACCCAATCAGAAGATCAGATCCCGTTGAGCTGAAACCACGTACACATTAATCTCAACCCACGTGTCACTATTAACTTAACACACATTTAGCTCACCGTACATGTGCTGATTAGCCACCATATGCAGCTTAGTCAACGCATATAGCTCACCCTACACATTTATTTCATCGAACCAACACATGTAGTACAACCACACATGAAGTTAAATCAACACAAGCATTTAGCTCAACTCCCACGTTTGGCTCAGTCATACATGTAGTACAACCTAGCTAAACAAACTAATATAGCTCAAATAACACATGCAGCCCGATCCACTCTTGTAGCTAAGCAAATCTTTATATTATTTTGACAAATTATTTCGCATTCAACGGTTCTTTTTCAGGTTATAAGTATAAGTATCTAACGGGTCTAAAACAGTTATTTTAGGGGAGCGGTGCCCTAGTGGATAAGGTGTCAGCCTCTCAACCGAGGGATCATGGGTTCGAGCCCCAATCGGGTCACGACATGTTTCTTCATATGGCACCAGTACTGGTTGTTTCCAGGAAGCGGAATCGAGACTGATTAATATAAGTTGCAAGAACTTGTTTCGCAACCGAGCTTAAATAGATATGTTTAAACCAAACATTTATTTAAATGTTATAAAATTCATGTTTGTCATTTAAAAAGAAAAACATAAATGGTGTATGATGAATAATGTGGCTTCAATCTTCTCCTTTAAATACTGAATCATGCATCATCAACGGATAAAGTCTTAATTTTAACATTTCGACGAAGAAATATTTGATTTTGACAATTCACATTTTCTGTTTTCACTCAAGTCAATAAAGTCTCCAACACGGCAAAATCTAAAATGTTCATGGACCTAAGTTTTTGATTACAATCCCATAACACCGTTTCAAGAAAACCTCAACATTTAGAAATGTTATTTATTCCTTTCTTTCTGAATTGATTTCCAAAAGCTTCAAAATATAAAATATTACATTTCAACATTATAACGCACTGATACTTTTTATCTAATATTTACAAACTACTTACCTTTACAATAATTCATAATTCTATTATTCTCGGAAAAATATATGTTAAAAACAACATCATCAAACCAGCTACGCACGATAGTCAGAAACGAAGCTTTGGCTTCATTTCCTCTGATCCCCTTTCAAAATTCCATTTAATTAAGTTTCACCCATTGTATTCTCGTTTAGGGCATACACATCTTATTTGGGACCACGCGCAGCGTGTCATGGAATGGCACTTAAGTGTCAAAATTAATGTTCAAAGATGACCAGCATATAGACATGTTTGCGGATCAATGTTGAATTGTGCTTGAGTCGGTGTCAGGGGGCGTGGACGGCAGCTTGCACATACCTGTATCGTCCTTGAGCAGGCTCTTTTTGACCGAGTCTGCATGACGGGCGTTGTTTTTCTCTATTTTAGCATTGGCTGAAAACATTCCTGTACATGTACATATGATACTGTTGATTTTATATTTTTTATTTCGGAATTCTTGTGAATATTTGTGTGTATTATATCATTTTTGACATTTAAATAGAAAATGAAATTTGGCGTCCATGACAGAGTGGTTAGGGTTAGGAGACTTCAAACCTATGCCCCTTTCCGCTGTCGGTTCGAATCCTGTCCGGGACTTTGAATTCTTTCAGGTGAGAAAGCTATCCAGCTGGCTTCGGAACGTCATACGGAACGTCAGTAGATCTACTCGGGTGCTTGTTCGAGCCTGGAATGACACCTTAAGTTTTTTCCGCTACTAGTAAAGCTGGAAAGTCGCCATATCATTGTGTACACCGGTCTTACTGATATATGAGAGACCTGTGTGTATATAATGGTCACCATATAAATTCTAGTATTATTGCAACGAAAAAAAAATAGAAATGGATATTGTTTTTACCAAATATGAGATGTCCATTATTGAAAATCAGTAAAGTAAGGGTAAAAATGTATAAAAACCGTTGTCAATATGTTTGTTATTTATGTGAAAGTTTATGGCGTAACAATATCAAATTGAAAATATAATATGCCCGTATGGCAAGATCAATTATTCTGGTTTATCATATAACTACAATTGGTTTCTACTCATGTATGACATTCTATGAAAATTGTCACTCGACATCCGTATTTGATTCCGGATTGAATTTTAAATCGGCATGTCGCATTCAACAATGTTACATCAGTTGTTGAACTAAAACTGAAAATAAATAAGAATATCTCAGGGACTGGAAAAGATATCTATAGTACACGTAGAAAAATAAGTTTTTTAGCAAAAAAGTCGTTGATTGAATGTGCAGGGAAATAAGAAATTGGTGAATAAATTTATCAATTACACAATAATTAAAACAATCGTAGTGGGAACTAACGTGAAAAGGATTATTTTTCTACATTATGAGTGATTACAAGAATTATTTGTCCGCATATATTCAAGTTATGGCAGCATTGTATACATGCGGATATTGTGATGGTCTTTGTGAATACACGTGGGGTGATTTGTAAGTATTTTATAATTATCACACTATTTTTTTTTTTTTCGCAACATGTGTCTTGAAGGTTTTTAGATATTTAATCATTTGTAAATATGACTTGTCACACTTAATTGCCTAATCAATATACAAGGAGAATTTGTAAAGTAATAATCAGTGTTATTTATTACCGTTATTCAGTGCATATCGAAGTGTTATACATGTACAGAAAGGTTAGGCTGTCCGCTGCATGTAAATGCACGAGAAACACGAATGAATGGAATTTTTCACTTGAATATACAAAGGTTATGTACACAAAAGTAGGGTCGGACAAACCTTTTATCAGTTTATGTACAACTACATATAAAGACAACTACAACGCCCCTTTAATTGATACCTCGTATATGTAAAACAATACTTTATCTTTTATTTGGTTTATGGTAGTCCTTTGTGAACTTAGTATTAAAGACCAAAACATATGATAATATATTTGATATTCTATTTTATGTTTTATTTTTATTCACAGAATACTCAGAAATCTTACAGATGATTGGCTGGAAAGGAATTCTACTTGCTTAAATGGCGAAAACGAGTCCATTGATACTGTGTAAGTTAGTCGTACAATTATTCTGTTTTAATCTTAAATTGATACATTGTAATATAAGATGGTCTTTCATTATTCTGTTTTAACTTAACATTGATAATATGTAAGTTGGTCTTAAAATTATTCTGTTATACAGTGTAAAGTAGTCTAACTATTATTCTTTTTTAACCTTACATTAGAGGTATAATAAATTATATACATGTAGTTCATTGCATTTATACTGTGAAAGATGGTCTTTAGAAATTAGTATTACAATAATTGTCCCTGTATTAACCTTACACTAATGAATTATTCTTTAATTTATTTGGAACTTATTCATTAACGATTCGATAGATTTGGAACTCATTCATTAAACAATTTAATTAATTTTCAACTTATTCATTAACAATTAATTGATTTCGTACTCTTTCATTTACAATTTGATTGATTTTGGAATTCATATTGATTTGGGACTTATTGTCGTGAAATACACGATTATTTTGTTTATTTTATTTTATTATCAATGAATGAGCTATATGTTATTGCTCCTCGTCTTTGTACATAATAACTTCCCGCCAAAAATAAGAAAGGCGGGAAAATTATACTTCTATGCTTTGCTCCACGCCACACTTTCTCACTTTTCTTGCTTTTCTTGTAATTTTACATTTTGGCGGTAAATTAGCCTATATAAACACGCCCTTTCACAGCATTTGTTAGATTCGGACATTACAGTCATTGGAATATACACGGTGTGTTATGTTTAGTTAAAATAAGAACTATAAAGTTTATAAAAGGTTTGAAATTAAAAATAAAGTGTTTATTGAAAAAGAAATAAAAAGTTTGTCTTCAATGTTGGTGTAAAACCTGAATCTCCACCACATTGAAATTGGTCCCGCGAACCGGATGAGTGTTTTTGTGAAAAGTGTTTTAAAAAAAAGGGAATTTAAAAAGTGTTTCGGTGGAAAAAGGAAAATCAATTTTGGAAATATTTTCAAGTTGTGCAAAGTTCTAAAAATCTAAAAATGTGATATTGTATTTCCACGTGTGATTTTCTGTGATGAAGTGTGTATTATGAAGACATGTGTTCTGTACTTTACAGTTGAAATGTTTGTGAAAATATTTTATTTGAATGTTTATATATTCCCGCGTTTTTGTAAGTAAAGTATGGCAATGAATAGCTGGAGGAATTTTAATGCCACGTGGTGAGAATTAACAAGAAAAAGTGAGTATATTTTGTTTTGAAAAGTAGTGTTATATGCATCATATTTTATTCAGCGAAATACGGCAGTTAAATAATTCATGATGAGGCGATACTAACTTGTCATATCTAAAAGGGTGTTCGGACACGATTTTTACAACTTCTTAGATACAGAGATTGGAAATGGGGAGCAGCTATTGTCTGAAATATTCAGATTGTAATGCTCATGGATGCTGAGGAGAAAGCAGGGATAGAAAAATAGGATTAGACGAATTGCAAGAAAAAAAGTCAATAATTACACGGAAAAACTTACAATTTCAGTCTGAAAAAAATTGCTTTAGCTATTGGAGACAGTGATAGTGAATTCTTTACAAAGTAGTCATGGATAATGATTCAGCCTTACAGGAAAGACAAAGCAATGACTATAGTTTATAAACTTGAAAATGTTCAAAAAGATATGAAAAGCTTAATGTAGAATACAAACCACTAGAAAGTAAAGGAGCAGAAACTTTAGTACAGCATTATGTGTGAGCTTCAATTGCAAACTACAACAGAATTCTTTGAAAAACAACAAAGAGAAGAAATGAGGAGCAAATGGAAATACAACAAAGGTTCTTTGAAGAACAACATGCTTTAAAAGATAAAAGTACAAATACAGTGAAATTACCCAAATTGGACATGATCTCATTCAGTGGAAATCGTCTTCAATGGACGGAATTCTGGGATTCTTTTCGCAGTGCGATACATGAAAAAATGATAAGCTTTCTCTCCTATTGATAAATTTAATTATTTGAAAGGAAATTAGTAGGTGAAGCTAGAAGTGCCATTGCTGGGCTGACATTATCCAAATTGAGAATTATGATATAGCTTATTGCATATTCTTCGTGAAAGATTCGGTGACCTTCCCAGGATATAATTTGATTTAACATTACAAAGGTATGTGAATATCTTACCACCGCAAGAATACTACAGAAGGATTAAGATTCTTTTCGACAAGATTGAGTGTGCGTCATTTACCGCAGCTTTAGGAAGTGATGAATAAAATTTAGACCAACAGTGTTTGCTGTCTATGATTAGAAGCAAACTTCCCAGTGAAGTTCTTCTTTTCAACTTGAAATACAAAAGGGTGCTGATTACTAAAATGGTGTATTTAAAACGTTACGGGATTTGCCTTTCGTAAATACTAGTTTCTAGGGAAAAATCTGACAAACCAAAAGTCTTCTGAATGCACTCGAGTCAGTATGTGTGAATAAGCCAAAGCAAATCCTCATACTGAATAGACATACAGCATGTTAAATCGCTTATAAACCAAACACAGGACAGACAAACTATTCTGGAGGGAGCATTAGTTGCGATATGAGAAAAAGGAAAGCCTTATACTTCCATTAGCGAAGATATGCAGATACTGTAGCAAAAATATCACTGGAGTGATGAACTGTCAATAGATACAAATACTATTGAAGAAAAGAAAGTCAAAGTTTAAAAGGATGCTGCTTGATATGTTTTAAAGAAGGGCACACGTCTCTTCTGACTGTAGAAGTTAGTTAGAAATATGTGTATACTGTGACAAATCAAATGTACATCATCGAAGTCTTTGCCCGAAAACAGTTATTTAAGGAGCTAGTAAGGAGAGAAACAGCTTATTGGTTTCGAAAAGAAACAAATACAAGACAATATTTGAAACAAACATATCCAAGCCAGATTATATTAACTGAAAGAAAATGCGAATGATTATCTATTCAGGAAGAAATGGTTCTTCATGCAGACAGCTAGGACAGAAATCTTGAATTCTCATTAATAAATAAACGACTGAAAGTGCGAATCTATTAGTACTGTGGATCACAAAGACACAATATAGTGCCTATTCGGAAAAACTAGCAGAGAAACTTAAGGTTAAAAAAGGGAAAGACTGAAGAATTAAGTTGTACTTTTTGGTAGCAAGATACGTAAAGCGACATTCCACCCAACCATCGACAACATATACAGCAAAATAAAGAATGGGAGAACATATTGAGTATGTGAAGTTTGCAAACCACATTTGGTTCCTGTACATAATGTACATTCAAAGGAGACACAAATAACGTTCTAGGAAAACGATGGGCATCAAGGACATAATTTCATAGTTTAGATCCCTAGCAGACAATTTCCAAAGAAAATTGGAATTTCAAGTGTGAGTTATTAATTGAGGAAACGACTCTATCTTGAATTGTTCTCCCACAAAGGATAGAAATTCAATCTGATATATCTACTTGCCCAAGTCTAGGCTGGGCTACTTACAGGAAGAACTGATGAAAACTCTACAAAACTGGGAAGTGAAACAAATTTGTTGATTTAACATACGGAGGAATTCCCCGACTACAACAAAAAATATTCAACTATATTCTTCGCTTCCTTTTGAAACCAGTAAACTTGAGATCTGGAACACAGAACCAGTTAGTTAGTTGAAAATAAAAGAGACATCTTGAAGACAAAAGGTCATGGAAGGTTTCCAAAATACTTTGGAAATTTGAAAAGGAAGATATTAGTCACCTGCCGTGGAAAGAAGGAGAGAAAGGAATTGTTGCCAGTTAATAAAGAATTGGTCATTCGGACGGTTTAAATCGTGTGTCAAAAAGGGTTTAAGAAACAAAACCAAGAACGGTTGGGAAATATGATTCTATTATTCAGGAGCAATTAAGGTAAAGTATTATTAGAAGAAGTGAATGATACCAAAGGTGATTTGATACATTATATACCCACATCATGCAGTGATAAATCCACAAAAATCAACAAAGGTACCGAGTAGTTTAATGATGCTTTCATCAAAAATGTAAAAACCAGAATATAGCAGTTTAAACGAATGATTTACATCTTAATGAGTAACCGGTGATGCTTCATTGATTTATGTGGACTTTTTTTATGAGATTCCGCCTACACAAAAAATAACTATCATATAGCAGACATCGAAAAGGCCATTTTTACAGAACTAGGTTTGCAAGAAATGTGAACGTGACGTGACAAGATTTCCTGTGGTTAAAATCATAGTGAAAACCAAGTACTGACTTACAAAATATTCAAGAATTAGGTTTGTCGAGTTCCCGTTCCGCGTTGATCTCGAGCCCATTTCTACTAGGTGCCACTGTGAGGAGAGTCATTTAGAAAGATATGATACAGATGTAGCTAAAAACAAGATAAAAAAATGACATCTATGTTGACAACGTTGTGACAGGAGTAAAAACAGAAACTGAAGCTATTAACTATATTTGAAATCCAAACAAATATTTCAAAAAGGATGCCTCCATGAATCTTAGAGAATGGCTTACAAACATGATGATAAAGATAAAATTCTTCAATAGCAAAGCAAGAAACGGAACTTGAAATGAAAAATACTGGTTGTCCTTGGTCCATAACTTGGATCCTAAAGTCTGATACACTTTCAATAAAACAGCCTAGGATTACAAAGTGAAAATAATTGACAAAAAGATTTGTTCTCAAGTGATTGCATCAGTTTTTGATCCGTTGGAATTGCTTTCACCCGTTATGCTAAAGGTAAATTATTTTACAAAAACCTCTGGAAAACAAGAATCTCATCGTGGGATGATGTGATAAAATTTGATGAAAAATTTAAAGAGGCGTCGGTCAGGATGTCCAGGATACATATATACAAAATGCTCAGAGTGTTCATTTCCAAGGTGTCTATCAATGGAAAGTAATAAAAACATAACCTACATTACTTGCTTTTGTGATGCATCAATGAAGTCGTACCGCTACTACTATCTATGGTCCATCAGGAAATATGGTTAGTGAAGTGAACAGTCGGACCTCGTGTTGCGAAAACACACTAGGC